GCTTTTCAGTAAGTTGAGAGTAAGTAACCTTCCCCACTTTCCCAACACCTCACGCCCACCTTCCCAAATATCCCCAAGCTGACCCCTTTCTCTATCTATATAAACCCCCCACACTCTAAATTATTGTTCATAAATAGATATATATTCAAAAGTTCAAAAACAAAAAGAACATCAAAATCGCCAAACACTTCCCACTGATTATTTAGGTTTTACAAAAAAATGGCGCTCGAGGCTTTGAATTCCCCGACCTCTCACTCGCCGCCGTTTCATTTTGACCTCCGCCATCTGGACCACCAGCAGTGGGCCAAGGGCAAGCGCTCCAAGCGGCCCCGCAGCGCCGACGACCGCCACGACTCGCCCACCGAGGAGGAGTACCTCGCCCTCTGCCTCGTCATGCTCGCGCGCGGTGGCACCACCGTGTCTCCGCCGCCGCAGCCGCGGAGGACTCCTCCACCGCATCCGGCCCATCCGACGGCGGCGTCGGCCACGTACAAGTGCTCGGTCTGTGACAAAGCGTTCGGGTCCTACCAGGCCTTGGGAGGCCACAAGGCCAGCCACCGTAAGCTGGCCGGCGGCAGCGGCGACGAGCAGTCCACCACCTCCGGCGGCGGAGGGAGGACGGCCGCCGCCGGGAGGGGCGCTCACGAGTGCTCTATATGCCACCGGAGCTTCCTGACGGGACAGGCGCTGGGGGGACACAAGCGCTGCCACTACGAGGGCGGCGCCGCCGCCAATGCGAGCGGCTCGGCAACATGCTCCGAGGGCGTGGGGTCCACCGCCACCCATAGGGACTTCGATCTGAACCTGCCGGCTATGCCTGACCGCTTGTGGCCGGGCTCTGCCGAGGACGAGGTGGAGAGCCCGCACCCGGCGAAAAAGTCAAGGGTCTCCCTGGCGGCGCCGATCAAGTTGGAAAGCCTTTGAAATTTAGGAAATTGATGATGGGAATATTTGATTCATTCATTATTCATTATGTGTAGATTTGTAGTAACTCGTTGATTGGTTTATTTATTGTTTATTTTTAAACTTTTGTACCACTTGCAACTAGGTCTTTCGACCAACATAGCCGAGTTCGAGCTTAGGTTATTCGAGCCCAAGTCGGAGCTCAACTCGTTAAATAAAAAGCCAGAAATTGAGCTCGACTCGTTAAGTTATGAAGTTGAGCTCGTTAACAAAACGAGCGTTAAATGAGCTCGAACTCAACTCTTTAAGTCCTCGAACTTGAGTCGAACTCGAACTTTACCAATCCGAATCGAGCAGACTCGTTCAATTTAACATTACTACTTGCAACTTATCTAAAGCCCATGTATAATATAAATAATGGATAGTTCATGTCATTGATTCTACACTTGCAAGTTGCAACTTAAGTTAATCTTATGCTTAATATGAAATGATAATCCAACCACATAAATATGTGTATATACGTACACATGTACAAATAGGGTCCAATTATCTTTGATTTTGATTCAAATTACCTGCCTGGGCTCTCAAACGATAGATTGAGGGGTATAGTAGTTTGTGATTCTTAAAAACATTTTAATATTTTAAAAAATATTCAATTTAGACTCTCAATAATAATAATAATAATAATAATAATAATAATAATAATAATAATAATAATAATAATAATAATAATAGCTAGGCCACTTAAATAACGAACTCAACACATTAACCAAATCTTGGTGGCCAACTGGCCATACCCCATATTCTCCTGGTGGGAGCGAAGATTCTCCTGGTAGGATGGATCCAAATATTCTTCACTTTTGTGATAATAAAAAGTTATTCTCTTGCTGAGAGCAATAGTTATTAGAGTATTTCTTCTTCTTTTCTTCTACATTGTGGGTTGTCGGTTTTTTGTGAGCTAGGGTTTTCTTTGATTGGGGCTTTTCGAAGTTCAGCTGAGCAATGGATTCGAATTCGTCAAAAACCCAAGATTCTGAAAATTTTTTGGATGCCATTGGTAAGATGATGAAGAATATAGAGCTAGAAAGTGATGAAAGTGGCATTATTGAAATAGAAGTTGAAGATATCCAGACTATTGCGGAAGAGTGTGATCGCAGCTTGTTCGGCAAGATCATTGGAGATAGGAAGGCATCTCTGTTTGGGTTAAAAAGGACTATGACGGTGATATGGCAAATTCAACAACCTGTGGAAATTCGCGAATTGAAACAGAACTTCTTTCAGTTCATTTTTGGCAATTCAGAGGACAAAATGAAGGTAGCATCAGGTATTAATTGGATATATGATAATCAGTATCTTATTCTTATGGAATGGGTGAGAGGGATAGGATCCAAACATCCTGGATTCAATGAGCTCAATTTGTGGGTTAGAGTTCAAAATGTGCCTCTCAACTGGATGAGTACGGAAGTAGGATTGAAAATTGGCAAAATTTTCAAACAAGTTAAGAATGTCACAGTGGTGAAAGCGGGAGGAGGTAAAGGAAGTTACATCAGACTTCTAGTCACAGTGGACCTATCTAAACCCGCTACCCAGATGTTCGTTCATGAAGTTACAGGATCAACAAGAGCTCATTAAATTTCAGTATGAGCGGCTAGTTAATCTGTGCTACTACTGTGGGAAAGTGGGGCACCTCGGCAGAGAGTGTGGGAAAAGAATTGCGGATATTCAGAATGGGTGTATGCGTGAAGGACAGTATGGAGAATGGCTTAAAGCCTCAGACATTGGTAGCTATTCGAGGATGAGTCCTAACAACACTCCCCAAAAGCAAGATGTCAGTAACAATATTATAGAAGCTTCTGAGAAGCAAGAATCTTATAGTAAAGATAACTTTGCTAAAGGGATTGATGATGATAAGGCGAGCCAAGGAGAGGACAAACTTGAGACAGTGATGCAAGAGGGAGCCAATTCC